CCTCCAATACTCATCAAACTCTGGTCTCAGACAGACCTCACAAAGAACTCTAGTCTGGTCTCGGATAGACCCGATAATATAACCCATACCTGGTCTCTGACAAACCTCATAACATAACTCCAACTGGTCTCTGACAGACCTCAAACCATAACCCTGATTGGTCTCTGATAGACCTCAAATCAAAACTCAGACTGGTCTCGGATAGACCTCAAATCAAAACTCAGACTGGTCTCTGATAGACCTCACAAATATCCATAAATACCCAGGATCTCTGATCAAGAAATAACCGGTATCTGAAGGTCTAGTTACCTGCATAACCCCAAACCCTCTCACAGGTGGATGTCCTAGTAACTGACAAAGGTATGGCATCCTATGCGGTCGTCGGCGTCACAGACTTTCAAGAGTGACGATACGATTCCCAGAAGGAGTGGCATCATCACATCCTGAAGAGGCCTCACTTAGCCAACTTCCAAATGATCGGTCCCCAGAGTCGACAATCCTACTAACCAGCAACCCGAGCCACCCAAAGGGCAGGACAGGAGGCCAACCAGAAGAACCTCGTCTGAGCGTAGATTTCGCGGGACACTAGGACATGCAAAGCACGTGCGCGCCCACTAATCTCTACTCTAAATCTAGGTGCACTCAAGCCCAGGTCCGGCTTATCTCTCCATCATGGAACACCCGTCACAACCCTACAATACAACAACAATAATGATAATATAATGCTGAAAGGTAAATACAGAAATGTAAATCCATACAAAATCCTCGACGGGCAAACAAACGCTAGGATTGACTCTCTTAAGGGACGTTGGATCCCAAATGCATAAGAACTATCGCAGTCCTTAGCAGCCAGGGGAGAGGTTCCCCAGCAGAGTCGCCAGCTGTCGCTACTGCGAAAATCGGCGCCGGCTGAACAGAAGAGTCACCACCGTGCGTTATTTATCCCAACGGAGGGAAAGGAAACGCTCGAAGTAAACCTCGCGAAAAAGGGAAAGGTATGGTCATCGCAACCAAAACCTGGGTTCGGGAGTCGGTTACGCAAGGGGAAGGTATTAGCACCCCTCACGTCCATCGTACTCGATGGGATCCACGCTTGCTTGGTTTGTACGGATTACATTTCTATCTAAACTAAAGGATGAGGTCTGAAAAGAAAAGAAAATTTGACTCGGCAAAGCATCGCACTTTATGCCTACGTATTCCCGTCTGGAACGAGAAATCAGAGTCAACGTAGTTCACCTAACTACGGGTGAAGGTGGGTGAAGGTTGCTCGCTAGGATATCGCATCCTATGCCTACGTACTTCCACACAGCATGGAAGATCAGAGCAAACGTAGTTCGGGCTACGCACGACACAAGCTGTTCAAGTGTCTTTTATGAAAAATCTCACCTTAAACAAGGGTTTTCTTATTGCAAAAAGGTTGATGTCTGTTCAAATCTTTTGACGGAAGAAATGAATTAATCTCTGTTATAACCTTTATTAATGTTTTTCTGTTGTTTTGAAGGAAGAAGAGGTGACACTCTACAAATCCTAGGGTTAAAAGGGAATAAAATCTACCCTAATGTTATCATGCATGGGTTAACTCCTAATGTCTATCACATCCTCCCTTGAACAAGGAAGAATGGAAGTCCTACGGGAAAGGAAACGAAAGGAAGAAACGGAAATACAAGTAATAATCGCATACAAGTGAACATGAATATAGAAATGGTAAATGCAATGCAAAAGAGGGAGGAAGGTTCATCTCAACCTCAAGCCCATTCATGGATGGAATAAGAAAATATCAAGTGATCATATGCAAAGAATCGAGTGAAAACTCCGAATGAAACGCGTAATCCACTATTTGGAATCGCAACGTGCTATCATGCAAACAAGTCGATAATCGGGCAAGCTACACATACAAATAACAGCCACCTAAGGGTCTTCCAATACCTCTAACCTATCTACAATAAGAAATATAAGCCACGGCGTTCATCACGCAAACACAAAGCGGCCGTTGGAGCCTTAACAAAAATAAAGTCCGTTCGGAAGTCCAAATTACAAGTTCGAATACAAAACATAAGAAAAATAGAAAAAGGTGCTAAAAAATTCAAATAAAAATCTCTAATGCCCTACATCAAGCCACAAACCAGGGGTGAGAGATACCACAAAAATATCCAAATATAAATGGTCAAACAAGATGAAAACATTGCAAGATATCTCATGTATACGAAAGGAAAGATTAAAGTGGAGCATGTTAAAGAAAGCATCCAAAACCAATTAAAATGGTACAATAAAATTCCTACAAAAATATATCACAATACCTCAACGTGTGTATGAGATCCCTGCAAAAGGATTGACATTTAAATTGTGTTTTGATAGGTCAAAGAAATTCAACAAAATGATAGCACCAGCATTGGCCTTTTTATGACGACCCAAATGTAAAAAATCCAAAGAAAATGTCAAAAAATGGTAAAATTATAATTCCAGTTTTATTAAATCCTAGACATCTTAAATATTCATCACAAAAAAATGGGGATCAAAAAGACTAATTTTCCTATTTGTTATGATTATTTGAAGTCAGCATATAAAACAGAAAAATAAAAGAACATATGGAATAGCATGAACACATGAGAAAACAAGAGAAATAGTGAGAATAAATAAAAGTGGCATGAGGCTTATGTGGCCGATTACGTGGCGCAGTGAGAGGCGTTGGATGAATGGAAGAAACCTTGACTTGGAAATGCATCCGACGGTGTTAACACCTTCTTCTCCAAATCAAATTTTTCAACTTTGTGAAAAGTAACCCGCAGCCCCATGAACATGAGTTTTTTGCTACTTTGAAGCACCATAACTCCATCAATAATTATCCGTTTCGCACAAACTTTTGGTCAAACTTGAAGGAAAAAAATCAAGGAATCCAAATATTGTCTTAGATTTTCTTGAAACTCTCTCTAACTCCCAAAACATGGCACCTCAAGAAAAACTCAAGAACCAAAAATTGTCATAAAACTCATCTTTTTTGTACTAGAATCCATGTAGGAGATGAGAGCAATGTAATGCAATAAAAATAATGCAAGAAAGACTCCTAAATAATGAGTTATGTCGAATTCTTTATACCTCCGAAAAATGGCTTATGGAGCTTCACTCGATCCCCAATTCTTTGAGAAAATGATGTAGAATCACTCAACAATACTTGGTGAATATGTTTGAAGTCTTGACAAGTCTTGAATTGATGAAAAAGTGAAAATTGGAATTTGAGTTTTCACCACTTTTTCATGTTACTACAAGGTTCCTCTTGCTCCAATTCTCTCAAAAAAATGATGAACCATCTCTATAATTGTTGTGTAATTGATTGGTGAAGAGAAAA